AATCAATGACTTTGAAATAAGCAAAGATTTCTTAAGCAGGACAGCAAAAATGGATCAGTAAGATGACAGATAAATCAGACTACTCAAATGAAGTACTTCTGTTCACTGAAAAATATCATTAAGAATGAAAGGTAGGGCTGGGGTTGTGGCTCAGTGGTAGAACGCTTGCCTTGCACATGTGAGGCACTGGGTTCAATCCTCAGCACTACATAATAAAGATACTTTGTCCATCTACAAGCAAAAAAAAAAAAAAAATTTAAGAAAAAGTGAAAGGTAAACTACAGAGGAAAGATTTTTGCAGTGTTTGTATCCTAGGAAGGACCTGCATCTAGAATAACTTAAGAACTCCTACAAGTCAGTAAGAGAACAACTCAACAGAAGAACAGGCAAAATATGTGACTGCTTCACACAAGAGGATCTGAAGGTCAAATAAGCATAAGAGACAGGATTGACAGTATTAGTCATCCGAAAATGACAAAACCACAATGAAACACTATATACCCTCAGGACAACATCAAGTGCTGGCAGGAATGTGAAGCCACCACATCTGTGGCATGAGACCAACTGCCAATAAACACATCAGGTGCTGTGACCACACTCTCCACTGAAGTTCGAGGTCTATGAATCCTCTAAATTCACCTCTGGACCCAACTGAGATGTACACAGATGTTCACCAAACCAATGGTACAAAAACCATCCCAGCAGCACTAGTCATAATAGTCCCATGCTGGAAATGGTGCCAATGGCATCCGCAGTAAAGCAGAAGAATAACTGTAAAACATTGAACTCTAGTCATGTCAAAGGAGCCACTGGTATACCAATGACACAGCAGAAACTAAAACGATGTCGAGATGAAAGAAACCAGGTACCAACGTAAGTTATATGCAGTCGAGCAAAACAAATCAAGTGTGAGAACTCAGTAGTGGTTACCTTTGGAGAAGGGAGCACAGTTACTGACAGAGGGCACAAGGGGCTTCCCAGGTGCTGGCCACGTTCTAGTCCTTGATCCCAGACAGCAGTAACCCGAGTGGATCTATTTATCAAAACTTAGATTAAAAACATACATCCTTGCCTTCATTTAGCACACAGGAAAGATAATAGGACTCATAAAACAAGTTATCACCACCTTAACATGTTCAAAAATTATCTTTACCTAGGAACATGATCCCACAAGAGCCAAAGTAAATAGCAAAATGCAAGAAGTATTTTCCTCTTGATTCTAACAAGAGAAACAGCAGCGTTGTGCTCAAGTGGCAGCCCACGCTGCTCTGTCCCAAGTTCCAGGGCACTGGAAAAGGTAGAGAGAGACTGGTGAACGAGAGCACATCTGCCCCACCAACAAAGCCAGGTGCATTCTTCAGCCAAAGTCACCAGTGCCGTGTGGGGCCAGAGTCACAGACTGCAGCCTATGAAAAGCTACAGACGCATAATTCAACATAAAATTCCACGATTTTTAAACAATAGCCACAATTTGAGCACGAGTCCCTAAACCCAGTCTTCCACATACCCTAACCCCAGAGGTCCAAATGCCGACGTGCCCCCAGCAGGCACTCCCATTACCTCCTGTATCGTGATTGTCAACAATATCATTTTGCTCAGTTATTACTTTGAGATTCAACTTTTTCCTCTTAAAAAGGTAGTGTTCTGGGATGGGGTTGTGGCTCTGTGGTAGAGCGTTTGCCTAGCTCATGTGGGACACCAAGTTCGATCCCCCAGCATCAAAAAAAAAAATTAAAGATTAAAAAAAAAAAGTAGTGTTCCTCGCCAGGTATGGTGGCACATACCTGTATTCCATCAACTCAGGAGGCTGAGGCAGAAGGATCATTCAGCCTTAGCATCTTAGTGAGAACATAAGCAATTTAGTGAGGCCCCATTTCAAAATAAAAAATATAAAGGGCTGTGCCTATAGCTCAATGGTTAAACACCCTCTGGGTTCAATCCCTGGTACAAAAAAAAAAAAGTTTAAAAGGTAGTGTGCCTCTTCTGTAAACAGTTAATACAAGAGCATCATGGGCTCGTTCACCATTATTTTTTCTGTCACTTTTTGGTTAATTGAGCCACAGCACTCTATGCGGGAGTGATAAAGGGCATCAGCCTGCTATCAGAGATGGGGGAGCTGGGGAGAGCCAGGAATTCCGAGTCCATCTGAGTTGGGTGGGAATCCTCAGCTCTGTCTCTACCAGATATGGAATTTGGGCAAATTATTAACTCATTTGAACCATGGTTTTATCACTGAAAAAAAAAGGGACCCCATCTCCTGGAAAGTCATTGTCACCTTAGCCTCCCGTCAGCACTGGCAGCCTGGGGCTTAGAACTTTCTCACCCAGTCCCCCCAGGCCCCGAGAGGCAGCTCCTGTGATTACTGTATTTCACACATGAGGAAACAGAAGCTCAGAGACATGTCCCAGAGGGCTCCTATGTGACAAGTCACTGATGTCAACCCTGCTGCCTGACTGCAGAGCCAGTGTCTGCACCACCATGCTACATAAGGTGCCCGGTCCCACGGCCAGCAGGAGGGAGGCGAGCAGGGCCCCTTCCTTCCTGTCCTCTTTGGATTTCTTTTTCTTCCTTGGTCTGAAAGTGTTATTCCAATGGCTTGAAGAACAGCCACAAGCAGCCACTGATCTGATCATTCCCAACTCACTGCAGCTGGAACACCAGCCAGCCTCCTGTGTGAGGATTTTAATCCAGCATTCCCAGAAGGGAGGAGGTCTCAATCAGCAAGGGCTGCGAAGGCCAGCTAATGGCTAATTAACTCGGCCCCTGAGGCTGGCAGCCACCCCAGGCCAAGCTTGGTTGGTCTGTTCTAATTGGCGCTGCTTCTAATTGGTGGAAAGCTGCCCAGCACACCCCCATCAGCAGAAAACGGGCAGTGCCTTTGCCTAGCCCCACTCCCAGGTGCAGGTGGAGGATCCTCAGGTAAGGCGGGGAGGCCAGAGATGCCCTGCAAACATGCAGCACCTCCCTAATTCTTATCAGGCCAAGTAACAAAATGGCAAGGGCTCTAGTCTGCGTAGGAGCAAACCATGAACAGACGGTCAGTGCCATGAGGGAGGCCGGGACGAGGAGAGGTTGGAGGTCAAGTGCTGGGCAGAGCAGGACACCGGGCTCAACACTTACCAGGCCTTTAGAACAAGCTTCTCGATGAAGCCTCCCAACAACCTCTGGGAGAGGCAGCCTCTAAGGCTCAGAGAGGAACTTCCTCAAGGTCACTGAAGGCTTGCCCTCACAGCCTGGAGCTGCCTAGCCATGCACAGCAGCTGCCCTCACCTGGTGGAGGCAGACAGGAGCCTCATGGTAACCAACCCCAGGGGCAGTGAAGACCAAAGAAGGGGAAAATACAAGGGCCCAGCAAGCGTCTCGGTCTCTGAGAAAAGCTCAGCAACTAGCCTGTAACATCCAGCCTCCCCGCTGCAGAGGCTTGGGGCAGCATCCCAGAGATAAAGCCACTGAGAGACCACTGAGGTTGACACCCAGGTGGCCACAGCAGCTGGCAGCGATTTCGTTAAAGCCTGAGGCCCCTAGTTTGGGATGAGGGCAAAGTCAGTAGATGCCCAGAGGGCACATCCTGTGGTACCACCTTTCCATAAGGCCCAGGGTCCTTCACCCAAAGCCCAGGAAAAACTAATGAATAAGATAATTGCCTCAAGCATGGGGAGCTCAGGTGCAATTAAATCTGGGTATTTAGGGGGGTGGGGGGGAAGACTGGGCTGCCTGGGTGCAAATCCTGGCTTTGCCACTGCTACAGTTTGCGTCCTCTCCAAAATTCAGATGTCCCCAAGGTGACAGTTTAAGAAAGGTTGGCTTTTCTCTAAACAGGCTCCCTCCTTCACGGACTTGTGATGAAGGGGGGCCTAGGAGCACGGTAGAAATACCCCTCGAAGACGGCTGCTGAACCTAACAGGAACCACATTTGTTTCTGAAAAGGAGCAACTGGGGAGATGAACAAGGAGAATCAGAGATTAGCTGAAGAGTTCAAGGAAAAGAAAAAGACAGCCACGGAGGGAGAGAGAGAAAGGCCAGGAGGCAGTCCGAATTTCCAGACACCACCACTCAACACACCAGCTGACTTTCTGCTGTGAAAAAGAACTAGCAAAGATCACACACTCTCCCTAGGAGCCACATGCCACATTAACATTAGCACAGGGACAAGGAAGATGCAGGGATTCAAGGTGGTAGCCACAAGCAGGGTTGGCAAAAACATGCCCTCTGAAATGGGGGGAGTGGGGGGGTAGCGGGTGGGGTAGGGGGGGTAGCTGGGGGGTAGCTCAGGGATAGAGCAGTTGCCTAACAAGGACCAAGCCCTGGGTTCCATCCCAAGCAGTAAAGGGAAAAGTTGTGGGAGGGAGAGACCACAGGCCATTTTTATATGGCACGATCCACTTCCAATTTCTGATCTAGGGAATAGTGACCTCATGCATACTATGGACACAACTGAGATTCCTACCACTCCTGGGGTTGGTGTGAGGGCAGAGGAATTAACTTTTGTCAAAGACCAACGAAGGTCCAGGCTTGCTCTGAGCACCAGTTGTATGCCTTTCCAAAGGCCCACGTCCACAGCCAGTTACTATTACTGGCCTTATCCCTAATGCTTGGGGACGTGTTTTGATAACATTAAAATAGATGAGAGCTATAGAACTCAGTTCAGAGACTTGTGCGGTTTCTGTAGCTGTTGGAGACACAATTATGAAATGCCACGCTATCCCCATGCATGAAATTAAAACAGATTATTAATTTCTCAGCAATTGTCACACCACATTGCTGAAATAGTCACCTTGGCTGCCGGCCCCCCGAACCCAGAGGAGTCGGGAACACATGGCACTGAGATTTCTGCACAAAGGATGACTTCATTTAACACGCCAGACGCCACCACAAACAAGACATTGATTTCTGCACAAACAGGGCAGTTCCATACGACTACCTCCTAGCCTGCTATTAACAATAAATAAGAGCGAGAGGGGAGAGACTCAGTGCCCCCGCCTCAGGAGGCCGAGCAGTACCTGTCTCCGTTTTGCTGGCGAAGCCTGCTGCCTGTTTGATCGCTGCCGCTGTGAGCGCCAATCCGCGGCTCCTCTTCAAGCCATGCTGCAGGACAGCTTCCAGCTGGGCGCAGAGACAGGTAACCCTGCGGGAGAACCAGGCCTTATGAAGGGAGCAGCCGGCAGGGGGCCCAGCCTCTGGGGGGGGGGGGGGGGGAGTGAGCCCCAGGTGTGAACCTCCTCGTGCAGGTAAACAGAAGACACCTGGAGGTAAGGCAGGGGGCCTGGTAAGCAACCCGGGCCACTCCGCGCACACACACCCGTTTATGTTGGTGTCACAGAACTCCAGGAAGTCCCTGACCCTCCTCACCTTCATCAGACTCTTGAATACATAGTAACTGCACACAGAAGAAGGAGAAATCCGGCCCATTTAAAAACAAATCAGATGGATGTGAAGGGGGTGGGGGGCATTCATTGTATCCAACTGGCAAGTTCCAACTAGAATTCCTATCACTGTGTGGTTGAAGGAACACAATTACATTTTCAGAGCCTGGATTCACCAGCCTACCAAATTGGAAACATTGTGTAATTTCATGGCCTGTTACTTAGAGAAAAAAAAAAAAAAAAAAACGTGAATTCTGATTCTTGTTCTTTATTTTTGTTATGAGATTACATTGGGAACTCAGATCCAGAGGTGGCAAGTTTTTCAATTAAGTTACAATTACTGCACATTTAATTGAATTTAGAAACGGGAAATCTGGGAACGTGTCTACAGAGAAATAAGGTCAGAGCCAGAGCCACTACATTCAATTCTTAGCAACACTCAAAGGGCTCCTGGGCCACTACCCAATTGGGTCTTAGGCCTTCAAAACCCTTCCACTTGCTCATGCAAACAAGGGTAAGAAATCTTGAATATCTCCCATGTGCTAGGCTCTGTCTAGACTCAGAATACAAAGGTCTCACACCTTACCGCATCTACGCCATGCTAGAAGAGGAGATTAACAAATAAGCTAACCAGTCCATTCAGTTAATGAGAACACAGAAGAAAATTAAAGAGGATGACAAGGCAGGTGGGGATGGGGCAAGGTCACACAGATTCGGTGGTCTTTGAGTTACAACTTGGACGTGACTAGAGACAGCAGACTGGAGAGAGGGGCCCAGTGCAAAGGTCCTGAGGCCACTACCACCTGGCTCAACTCTGCCTAACCACAAGGATTTCCTGCTCCCTACCACACCTGAAGTAATAATGCTGCACTTGTTTATCTCTGTGGGTGGCAAAACATTTTCATACCTATTATTTCACTAGCTCCTCCTACCCAAATTATGACACAGGTGAGGCAGGTATTATTATCTCCATTTTACACATGAAGAAACTGAGGCTTAAAGACACTTGTGTGACCTCTCAGAGACAATGCACAACAAGTGGCAAGATCTAAAAGACAGGCCACCCCACAAGCTGATCCACCACACCCCCACAGGACATTCTAACTCTCAAGACATACTACCCGACATTGACACAACCCTCTGTGCTGGGAAAATATCACTCAAACATTAGATGTACTTTTGCTAGTCTCTCTAACTATATTTGAGGGCTTTCTAAAACCTAGAACACCCACCAAACTCCCTAAGTTCTACAGGAACAAAAAATGGGGCCAAAACATAAGCCCTATCTCAGGAAAAACAACCAACCAAACTTGGACTGTGTTTAGGCTCCTCTGTAACTAATAAAAGTCTCTACCTTTAAACAAACCTCTCCAAATACAACAATCCATTTAACAACCCCTGGCAATTCGCTTGGCTCCAAAGCACAGGTCAGTGACTGCCCTGCAGCTCTAGATAAAACCTGGCACTCATGGGGAGTGGAATGCAGGCCAGCAGAAGAGCACAAATAGTCCCTGAGGACTGGGGTCCACATCAGTACTGCCTCCCCGATGCACCCCACTCACAACCAAGCTAACAAGACAGAAAACCCAGGTGGACACAGGAGCACATCATGATGCCAGCCTTGCGGGAGCCATTCCTTCCAACACCCTCCCAGCCCCTGGTGTTCCTCCTCATTTTACCTGAGCTTGGTGCCTACTGGTCATTCCATACTTCTCAAGTGTCCCCTTCCTGAGTGCTTCCTCATTCTTGTATGTCAGCTCTTGCAACTCTGTGTGTCAATGATCTGACTTCTAAGGCATCTATTCTCTGCTGCACTATGGAGAATGTGACCAAATGGCCCCTCCCCTCAGGGGCCTCCCATCATGGACGCACATTATGGACTTGATGTACATTTTGGTAAGACATGCATCTCAGAAGATGTCATGTAATTTTTAAACCAGATCCAGTAGGACACATTTGCCCAAGCCTATAGATCTTCCCTTAGCTTGTGGCAGGCATAATAAGGAGGCACTGATCTATAACCATGTCTGTCACCCAAGGTTTTCCATGGCTCCCTGTCTTTGCTCAGTTAGTTGACAATCCCTGCAAAAGCAAAGGAGCATCTGTTTTCACATGTTTCTTCATCTGCTCAGTCCAGTCCCTACTATTTCCCAGAATGCTCTCTGCCAAATGCTTTTCATTTCACTGTGGCAGGCTGGCTGCCTCTATGGTATTTTATATCAACCTCCATTTCAAGGTAATGAATTGAAATGTTTTTAACTAAGCAGGGCACTTAGTTACAGTGAATATTCTAATGTTTAAAAAGCACCTGTCAGGGGTTGGGGCTGTGGCTCAGCGGTAGAGTGCTTGCCTAGCATGTGTGAGGCCCTGGGTTCGATCCTCAGCCCCACATATAAATAAATAAATAAATAAATAGAGATGTTATATCCAGCTACAACTAAAACATTTCTCAGCATCACATATAAATAAATGAATACATTAAAGCTCCATCAACACCTAAAAAAATTTTAAAAAGCACCTGTCAACAAAAATCACTCCATGTTTTTATGCATACAGTCATACAGTTATTTACCAGATGAATAAATAAATAAAATGCAGCCTATCCATGCAATGGAATACTATTTGAGAACAAAAAGGAATAAAGTACTGATACATGCAATTACATGCATGAACCTTGAAAATGTTATGCTAAAGAAAACAGACCCCCAAAAAAACATTCACTGTATGACCCCATGAAATGTCCTGAAAAGGTAAACATATAGGAAAAAAGGCAATTTGTAGTTGTCTAGGGCTGGGACTGGGATCAGGGATCGGTGTAAACTGACACAAGGGAATTTAGGAGGATGCTGCAAATGTGGGGATGTTGCACAACTCTATAAATTTACTAAAAAATAAATTTACTGAATTTTTATTGAATTGTATACTACAAGGGGTAAATTTTTGTGGTATATAAATTAGAACTCAATAAGTCGTTTAAAATGAAAAACTTTCCTGAAAGTGCTCAGGAAAAATCTGATGAGGAAGTAAAGGAAGTAAAGTTATTTATAACTTCCTCCTGCTGAATTTAAAACTGTCCACCAACACCAGCATCACAGGACACTGCTGGAACTCAACTAGTTTACTGCTAAGATTCTGCAAGCATTTGTTTTCATGATCAATGTCTTGTATTTCCAAGACTGTTCAACCGGCGACCTTAATTTATTTATAAGATTCCTAAGAACAAGATGCAGTGGCATATGCCTGTAATCAAGGAGTTGTGGCTGAAGGATTGCAAGTTTGAGGCCAGCCTCAGCAAGTTCAAGGCCAGCCTGGGCAACTTAGCAAGGCCCTGACTCAAAATAAAGTTTAAAAAAGGGCTGGAAATGTAGGTCAGTGGTGGAACACTCACCTAGCATGCTCGAGGCCCTAGGTTCAATACCCAGCACCAGGAAAAAAAAAAATCCTCAGAATCCTGTAGTTTATATGGTAAATATTAGAACAGCAGGCAGGATCAGCAATTTTTTTTAAGTTGTTGATAGACCTTTATTTTATTTATTTATTTATTTATTTATTTATATGCGGTGCTGAGAATCGAGCCCAATGCCTCACACATGTGAGGCAAGCGCTCTACCACTGAGCCACAGCCTCAGCCCTAAATGCTGCATTTTTATAAACTGTCTCTAGTGATGGAAGAGCATATTTCAAATTGATTCTTTCACTATGTTACAGCTTTAGTGGGACCTTTACGAGAAAACGAAGAACAATCATGAAAATGAATAAGATGATCTTCGCAAACCTCTATTGTTACCTGGAATGGAGTCTGTAGTACCCATAAAACTCATCCAATTAACAGCATTAGCCACATCTCAGATTTAAGATGGTATAATAATCAATTAGCCTTGCTAAATGACAATCATGTGAAATGGGTCGTGGCCTACATGTATGTTTTAAAAATTAAGTTTGCAAAAATGTTCAAACACTTTGCCCATGAACTTCACTGACAGAAATCAATCCTAGACTATAATCTATAAGTCAGGTAGATAAAAAGATAAAGATAATAGAAATATTTTTTAAAAAATATTATTTACACTAGTGGAAAGTTAGAAACCAGCTAAATATTTAATAATTGTGGAACTGGTTAAACAAATGTTAGCACATCCTATAATCAAATGTTATTTAGCCCTTAAACACATTTACCAAGAGCTTTATACGATATGCAACATTTATAATATAATGTAAAACAAAAAATGAGCAGGATATAAAATTGTATATTAAGACTGTTCTCAACTGTGCTAAATACATACACAGTTCAGAAGGGAATTATGTTAAAACATGAAGAGCCACTGGTCAAAGAAGATAGGTCAGGTTTTTCTTGCCTTCACACTTTCTTGAACTTTCTAAAACAAGCATTTAAAAAAGTATTCATGCCACAAGAACCAGAAATACTGCTACCCAGAGGTATAAAGAATGAACAAATATGGATTAAAGGTTGTACTGAGTAAAAAATCATGCACCTATTTAAAATGCATGCAGAAATGGAAAAAACATTTTTAAAAGCTTGAGCTACAATGTTAAGTGAAAAAAAGCAGACCTACAAATAGATATAAAAAGTGTTTCTAACCCACAAATTTTAAAATACTGCAATAAAAGACTGACATCCAAGTTGATTTTTTTAATGTACAACTATAATGCACCAATAAAAACATGTACGGAAAAAAAGGTAATTGTTTTAGGTAGACAAAATGAGGGAGAGGAATTTCATTAGTAATAGTGACAAAGGCAA